CCACCCCCCCCCCCTTTAGCCATTTTAATAAAAAAATTAACCCCTTCCCTGCCAATTGATCACTGACTACAGTGATCAATTGGCAGGGATTACATTTTACTGTTATCTGATATATTTTTTTTAACCCCTGAGGATTAATTCTTTTTTTTTTTAACCCTCGGGGGTTACATTTATTTAATTAATTAATTTAAATATTTTAAAATTATATATTTAGCTAGCTGGGGTGGGTGGAAGTTAGTGGGGAATTGAGGGATTTGGTGTTAGGCTAACTAGGGGTTAACGTTAAAAAAAGTTTTAAAATAAACTTTAAAATGTTAAAAATTAAGCTAAAAAAAGTTTTAATAATGTTTAAGTAAAAAATAAAAAAACCACCCCCCTTTACCCAGTCCAAATAAAAATGAACCCCTTCCCTGCCAGTCGATCACTGCCTACAGTGATCAAAATACAGATCCCAGTATTATACTGTGATCTAATTTTTTAAAACCCCTGAGGATTAACTTTAATTTATTTTTTAACCCTCAGGGGTTCAATTTAATTACTTAATTCATTTAAATATTTTAGAATTATATATTTTGCTAGCTGGGGAGGGTGGGAGTTATGGTAAAATGGGAAATTTACAGTTAGTGCTGCTTACTGCTAGTTAGGGGTTAACGGTAAAAAAAAAGCTTAGAAAAATGTTTAGGAAAGTTTAAAAAAATTAATAAGCAAAACAAAAGTTTAGAAACTAGTTCTTAAAAGTAAATAAAGTTTCAATAAGTAAAAAAATACATTTAAAAACGCTCATTACCACTACACCTCCAACAAACTAGAGAAAAAATGATCCTACGCTGAGGTTCACAATATGCCTTTTGAATTACCCCACGGTGTATTCTTTAATAAATAGTATGTGTTTGTGGGGAAGTTTAAATAACCGTCTAAACTACTCCAAATTTGAACATGGACACAAAGCGTAAAACTTCAAAGTTAGAAAAAAACTGAATGGCTGCATCTCAAATGCGCCCCTTCAACATCCACATATATCTGGCAAAGGTACATAAGGTTGTATTGCTGTGCTCAGACGACATAGCTGAGCAACATATGAAGTATTATACAGTCATAGCACACATAAGGTTTGCAAAATATACTGTGCAAACTCACTTTGTGTGTCAAAAAGGCAGAAAAAACTTATTACCACTACACTTGGTACAAGCTAGCGGAAGAATTATCCCACGCTAAGGTTCAAAATATGCCTTTTGAAATACCCTGGGATGTCTTCTTTAAGAAATGGTATGGCTTTATGGGGTATTTGGATTATATAGCCGGGTAAAATACTCTATAATGGGACATGGGCACAGCGTAAAAATGTAAAGTTTGAAAAAAACTGGAATGGCTGTGTCCCAAATGTGCCCCTCTGATGTCCACATATACCTGGCAAAGGTACATACGGGGGTATTGCTGTACTCAGCCGACATAGCTGAGTAACATATGAAGTATTATACACTGGTAGCACACATAAGGTTTGCAAAATATACTGTGCAAACTCACTTTGTGTGTCAAAAAGGCAGAAAAAACACTTATTACCACAACACTTGGTACAAGCTAGCGGAAAAATTATCCCACACTAAGGTTCAAAATATACCTTTTGAAATACCCTGTGGTGTCTTCTTTAAGAAATGGTAGGCCTTTGTGGGGTAGTTTGAATTGAAACCCTGCTAAGATGCTTGGAAATTGCACATAGGACCAGCGTCAAAATTAAAAGTTCGGTAAAAACTGATATGGCTTGGTCTCCTATATGGCACTGTAGCTTCACGAAATAGTGCCAAAGACATTCATTGGGGGTGTCTCAGAAGACTTAGCCGAACATAATTTGGGGGGTTTGAACTTAGTGGCACATGTGAAATATACAAAATGTCCAGCAAAAATGTAATCCATATGTAAAAAACGCACAAAAGTATTTTTTACCACATACTTTGGCATATATTGGTGAAAAAATGGGGGCATGTTAAGGCACAAAATGCACCTTATGAGATACCCTGGAGTGTCTTCTTTTACAAATGGTAGGCCTTTGTGGGCTTTCTTGAACAGTCAAACTGTTATAATACCCTAAATGGAAGCATAGGCTCATGAAATCCGTCTCTCAAAATTCTACTGTGAATACTGAAAAGAACAGGCCTCCTATATGGCACTGTAACTTCACGAAATAGTGCCAAAGACATACAGCAGATGTAACTGAACACAAAATAAAACTTTGTACAGGAATAGCACACACCAACTTTACAAAATACACATGATAATTTCTTTGTTATAAGTTTGAGTGCCAAAAACCAAAAAAAAACACAATTTTACTCCAATATTTAGCAGAGGTTGGCAGTGAAATGGCTACGTAGAAAGTGTCAAAACAACCCTACGTAAATAGCCTGTGATGTCTACTTTATATAAATAGATACTTTTGTGTGGCAATTTTGTTTTCTTTTATGGCTATTAAGCTTACAAGACAAACATACCAAATTCTAAAATCGCGCCACATTGAAAAGTTTATTTTACACCTTGTGCTTTGTGACCTGTAACTACCAAAAAAAACTTAAAATCCCAGACACATTATATATTCTGTAAATCAGAACTAAATGATTTTATTTTTAATTACTTTCCTTAACCTGCACTAATTATGCACACATTATTATTGCAAAAACACAAACATTTTCATTTATTTTGCATTTTCTGTATTTTTTTATAATAAATAAGCATTTATATATATATATGTGTGTGTTATATCAAATTAAAGCCCTTTCTGTCCTTTAAAAAACAATATATAATATGTGTCGGTGTAATAAATTAGTCAAATGCAAATTGCAGTTGAACGCAAACAGCAAAAAATTTAAAAAAATGCTATTGTCATTAAGTGAAAGACAAGCTTCTGAAGCTCTGTCCTTAAGGGCAAAAAAAAAAAAATACAGACAGTAGAAATGCACTGCTGTAACAGATCTGGCAGGAAAGGGGTTAAAAGGTGATTTTTTTATTTTTTTTTAAATAACATACTGATACTTTCTGATGGTCACTGAACACTGCTGCAACAAACTATCACAATCTCTGTCTCTCTCCCCTCACAAACTGCTACAGAGGAGAGAGGGGCAGAGATCACTGTCAAAGTGAGTGTTGATCGCTCACACGCCGCAATTGGCTGTTACTATCTGCCTCTGATGTCTGGCAGATAGTTACAGTGTTATACCGGCGGGAGCGATCTTTGATCGCTTCCCGCAGCTTGTTTTTCGTTATGACAGTTCAGGACCGTCAGCAGTCCAAACACACGTTTTACCCCTGATGGTCCTGAACCATCAGCGGTCCTGAAGGGGTTAAGGACAAATATAATGTTTAATAAAAATAGCTTATTCTTCTTTGTTTGTATTTGATATATGTTCAATTGATATAGAGAATTGTTATATTATTTGAGTTGAAATTGTACAAAAAGGTCACTGGTATTTGGGCAATTAATATGAACCCCTTCCCCCTTTTCCTTCATTCCCCCTTTCTTTCAATTTTTATTTTTATTTATCTTTTTTGTTTAGTATTACATTCACGTTTATAATGTAATTGTTATAATTTGAATAGTTTTTAAAATGTAAAAAAAAATATTTGAAAAGAAATAGTGGGGTCCCTTAATATCCATTTTAAAAGTCCTTACACTGCATCCCAGTACAAACTGATAGCTCTGTAATATCCCACATTACTCAGGGAACTGCAAAATCCCTGTGCACTCTACACATTACTGGGGACTCTGTAATATCCAGTAAACACTGCACATTACTGGAGTCCTGGATCAAGCTGGTGTATGCATTCAATTCTCTTGTTTCTCCTTCAGCCGACTTCAGAGCTTTCAGATCCTCTGATGAAGTGATGTGGTAGTCACGAAATGAATAAGACTGTTCATACCCTTCTGATTATGGACCGGAGGAGAGCTGCAGTGGAACATAGGAGCAGTATCATGGTCGCAATCTGCAGTCTTAGACCGAGTGAAATAAGTTTTGCCTCGAACTTCATTTCAAGATGGCTGAAGGAGAAACGAGAGGACTGAATGCATACACCAGCGTGATCCAGGACTCCTATTTTTCTGCTGATATGCTACCTACTCGGTTTGTTTTTTAAAGGGTAAACAGAGAGCAATGTCTCTGCTTTTATTCCCTCTTTTAGATTGATGACATCCAGATTATTTGGGACCTGTCTTAGTGGTCCATTATTTTTTAATAGTTAGAAGACTGTGTACCTAACTTTTTCTGATTGCTTTTTCTGAGGCAGGTACTATAAATATTACAGCAGATTTTGGAGTGTTTTTAGGTCTCACTTTCCCATAGCTGGAGTTTGCACTTGCCAGCTGTTACATGTTTGCCATTTTATGAAGCATTTCATTAATAACATTTTATCAAGACTGTAACAATGGACTGTTGAGCACTTTTGTGTTTATAAAGGACCTTTGCATTTTTATAATACATTATATTATATATTTTATCTATTCATTTTTTTATATATCTATTGTGGTTTTGTATCTGTTTGATATCACTGTTTAGTTGATCTTAGAAAATTCAGTTTCTATGCTTGCAGACCTTGGTCAGTTTTGATTTTCTTATATCCATATATTTTATACCCAGCACTGTTTTTTGTAAAGGAGTGCCCTGTGTTCATTTTGATAATTAATGTTATGATTATTAGTATAGATTTTTTTCCTCACTCCATCACTCCTGTTATATTAAGCATGTATTACCCTTGTTTTACCATGTATCTTTAGAGCTTTGAATGGGGGCTTACTTGGCTGGTTAGGTGAGGTTGGTGTGAGGGTTTTTTTTTCTATTTATTTGTTTATTTTTCCTCCCATGTTCACCTTTTTTCATTTCATATTTTGGGTAGTTCACTACTCCATTTATCTGTTATTTAATCTAAGTATTGTAAACATCTGACATTGTCATTTTGTTATGTTAAGTTAATTTTAAGTGGTTTCTAAAAAGTTACGTTTATTGTGTATGGGCTCAGGTGTCACAGTCTATGCCATGAGTGATAAAGTGATCACATATGGAAGCTAGCATTAGTTCACTGCAATTAGAACTTGTTCATTAGGACATGCTTCAGCCTCCTAACCACTGTAACAACTTCCATCTTTTCTATGAAGGCATCCATCCTGAGGTGGGTGAGCAAGTGTCTGTCACATCCCTAAATGGAATAAGAATTGCCACTAGCTGCTTTGTTGTGATCCATACCTCATACCACAGTGGAGAGTCAAAGCTAATGTACAGGTTGTACGAATGGTTTGCCTTCACCTCTTCCAAAATTATTTCCAGCATATTTAAAGTGGGGTTCCAGAGTATGCTGACATAATGTAGTAGATGGTGTGTAGGAAGCCTTGTTTTCTCTTGGTCCTGTCTCAATAGCTGGCTAGCCTTCACACTACTTTGAAAATGCCTGACAATTCTCTTGCATCAATCCTCGGTTTGCACCTTTGCATTTCTCTCAGGTATTGTATGCTCAACTACGAGTTGTAGGATGTGTGCAGAACAGTGCACATCTATAAAGGAACCATCTTTTGGAGATTTGACCATTGTAGCAGCTATATCAGTGATCACCTACCCAACATACACATTGGTTCCTGCCTGCTCTACCACCTAATATGTTACCATTCATCTAATTACCTGCATGATTTTTGCTATAGTGTGCCTTACATTCATAACTTCTGCATGTAGAAATGTAGTTAATTGAGGGAAAGTATCACCTACAGTACTTAATTGAGCAATTAATTTTGATTGCCTGCTGTTTTGGCATGCCCCTTGCATGGTGGGCATGTCCCTGGTATAATGAGAACTGAGAGTCAACCTGTCCATGTTGCCTAGAAGCACTATGCTCAACCCATGCTCTGGCTATGGCTGGTTGAAGTGGAAGTGGTACCAATGGTAGGTGGTTGTGGATAATCAGATAAAGCATCAGTGGACTGTAATGCCCTAGTACTTTCTAGTTCTGATTCTTCCTTAAATAATACAGACTTGTGGTGACTTTATCTATGTATGCTCAACTTCACTAGTTAGATGACCCATCACTCTCCTCCTACTCACTTCTGTGTCTAGGAATTTGCACTTTCACCCTTCTTGGAGGCATATAAAGTGATCCCAAAAATTTTTTAGTGCAATACAATAGCCTCAACATTTCATCTTGTGACTGAAGCTGTAGTTTTTTTCTCAATGGTGGTGGTGGAAGTTGTTGCAACACTAGCACTTGGTTGACTAATGCTAATGGGAAGGATGGTGGTGTAGTTAATCATTTCCCTGGGTAAGCTACCTGTGGCACTGATATCAGATGATTTTTCAACTGTTTCCATTAAATTAGATGATTTAACAGTAGGTAAAGATGGACTTAGACAATGTGGAAAATATACAGGAGACAATTTCACATTAGCTGTAAAAAATAGTGGACTGCTGCTTCTCCTTTCTGGACTCGCCTCTTTAATTCCTCTGACTCATAGTCGAGTTACTCCTAGAATAGACCACAGTGGGACCATCAAGAGTCAATGTGGAGATTATTTTGGTATTCTGCTCTACTCTACCTCTTCAGTCTCCGCTGAGCCCTCCCACGATTGCTTCTTTGGCAGGCTACAAGAAGTAGGGGTAATATTGGCAAATGCAACAAGTCCAGTGGTTTCACTGATCCCTTGCTTTGACCACCATAATACACAGATGCTGAAATGTTTAAATTTGCTGTGGTAGAAGGAGCTGAAGTGCCAGTAGAAGTGACAGTAGAAGTTAATGTGGAGCTAGTGATCAAATGTGTGGGTCAAGCTGTTTCTGCTGCTGCATCTACAGATTATCCTACTACTTTAGACTCTGAGTCACCAATTGTATAAAAAGAATTAGAAATAATCATTATGTATCTGACATAACACACATGCTACTCCCACTATCCTGAGGCTGAATACTACTAATAGTGGTATTTATGATTGTTGTGTCTGAGTCGCAGAGGTGTCAGCAGTCCTAATGGCTAAGGAAGAAATCTTAAAACTATGAGAGGCAATGATGTTACTGCAAATGGGGAATGGATGGACACGATCACTTCCCCTATCTTTACAAAAATTTCTGCTAAGTATTAGGATGCAACATTGATGATGGTAGGCTTTTTTATTATTAAAATAAATTAGGATATAAAAATTTATTGTATAAATGAACACAACTTTATTCAACAAAATCTCCCATCTAAAATTGTTGTTAGTGGCAGAAACTTGGCACAGCAGTACCTTGAAGAATCCTGCTTGGGAATATAGTGGTTTTATTCCACCTCTTCTTTGGGCAGGAGATGCAGCCCACATCATTGGGTAGAGCTCTTGTCCAATGATAGCAAACTAGACTGCTTATTTGTCCCCACAAAAAAAAATTAACTACTTCTCTATTCCACCACCCTTTTTATGATGCCAGGAACAAAACTCTGAATCACCAATCAAATGCATCCATTGCGCTAGTCATTGGTTATACTTCCATATAACACTTCTGATCTGCCTAAGTCTAATGTGAGGAAATACCAAATCCATATTAAATGGCTTATACTCCATTGATATGAATATTCAATTTTACAGTGTTTAGGCACTGCAGTGTTTTTCTCTTACCTTTTTTACATAAATGCAATGTATAAGTTGTTGTTTTTTTGCCTCCCCTTCATGTCTTTTAGGGGGAGAAGTATGAACCATGATGATCCAGTTAGGGGATATTCTTCTCCATGGACTGCAGTATCTGGGATTGACCAGGATGACAGATTATGAAGTGTGTACAGACAACATCTGTAATATGACTGTGACTGCATCATTCATTAATCACTCTAGGCGTCATTAGTTGCAATGGAGTAGCAGGAGAGAACTTGTCTCTTACACATGCAATCGTATATGTGAATGCTCAGGTATGCTAGATAAGTAACACAGTGATAAGGTTACAATGATTTTATGATGTCACACCACAATGCTTCATAAACCTTCATTTATCAAACCCATTCACACCATGATCTGTGAGTTTCATGCACACAATTTTCACAAATTTGTACATGCACCAAGGCCAAAAGTTGGCAGCCCTCCCCTGTATGGAGCTGTTGCAAACTTTGGTACAATTGCTCCAGATGAAAAATGCCAACCTCCCTGTATCTAGATGTAGATTTAAGCCATGTCTCATCAAATGATGTCAAAAGTCCACATGTATGCCCTGGGAAATAGCTCAAACCAGTTTAAACTTCTTTCTTAACTTTTCCGATACCATGACCAATCAAATTTAAGCATTCGTTAAAAGATTCAATGCTAGAAATTATAAATACAGATTGTGACCATAAAAATCTCCTCACCTCCTTTATGAATCTCTCATATTTATCATAACCTGCTAAAAACCAAAAGCTCTGGCAAAATAATGTGATTTGTTTATTGAAGTATGAACCTTGACATATATATAAAATTATTTCATATAAATTATAAAAATGTGAAATGTATGTGCTTATTATAGCGCATATCTCATATGTGTAAGTTTGCAATTACCAATAGGCAAATACCAATATATAAAGTGACCTCACAATGCAATTTCAAATGTGCAGCAACCATAAAAATATCTTGTGACAAAAAAGATTCTTAATCAAAATAATAATCTATACCATGCACGAATATAACTTTAAAAATACTTGTGTGAATAATCTGCCTCTTATAACAGTAGGTACCTATATATGAAAGCATTAAACATATAAAGTGCAGATAAATAAGACAAACAAACAATATAAGTAAGGATTTCAGTTGAAAACCACTGACAAAATACAAGTCGCTGAAGTGCCAATCAAAACTATAGGTCTCTGTCAAACACATCAAATTAGAGAGAATTGTCATTGGCCACCAATGATTTATGACACTTTGATGGCCAAAGATTAAAAACAAGAGGAGGGGGGGGGAGTTGCTGCCAACTACAGGAGCGTAAACCTTTCTAACCTTTTGCTTAATTACAGTACCAGTGTCTCTTTCCAAGTCAATGTTAAATTTCACTTGTGCCCGCTCTCTCAATTTTGGCCAGTCCAGCATCTGACGTAAAACACGTTACGTGTTTCACCGCCCGGCCCTCTCTTTTGCACACCATATATAAAATAATTTCAGTAGACTCTACATCCAAGACTTGAAGGCTTGAGGTTAACTCTAGGAGAATTGTACAAATTACACAGTAATTAATGTTCTGATAAGCATTATCTTAAATTGTACTTTAAAAATAATTTTTAAGCACATTGTACTGAATTCTGAAGAAAGGTGTTGTCTGCATTTTCCCTAAAGGATTATTTTAACTTCCAAACCTGTATTATATCTGTCAGATGTAACACATACAATGCAGGCCATTAGTTGGCTCACAATGATCTAACACTGACAGAATGACAACTAATTGAGGCTTACTTGTTTGTCCACTGTTGAAAAGGACAATGATGACAAAAGCACTGGATGACAGGTTTGTAGAGAAAATGAATTGTAATGTAAAGGACTATCAGTAAAGATCACAAACTAAAATTCACTTGATTTTTTTTAGAGATAATATATATATCTACTGCCATTCTTGCACCAAGTCTAAACCATTGTATAAAAGGTTATTATTTGTAGAGAAAATTAATTTTAAAATAAAGTCTCCATCCATAAGCATTTGATTTGTTTTTGTTTTGTTTCTTTTTAAGGGATGCTCTGTCCTTCATAAAGTGATTTGTATGTTTAAATGTGCATCACATCTGAAAAGGTCTAACAAAATTAATTTATTGTTACTGTGGAGTCCAAAATGAAATTTACATACAATTTATGTGGGTATTTTTCTATATTTTATTTTAATGTTGTGTCATGTTCTTAAATAATTTAAAAATATATATATTTTGGGTGTTATTCCTGAATAGAGATGTCGCGAACTGTCCGCCGAACTGTTCGCGAACTGTCCGCTGGCGAACAATAGCGTGTTCGCGTTGGGCGAACATATCCGATTTCCGGTCCGCCCCTATACGTCATCATTGAGTAAACTTTGACCCGGAACCTCACAGCCAGCAGACACATTCCACCCAATCAGCAGCTGACCCTCCCTCCCAGGAAGTGTCTGCTGACTGTGAGGTTCCGGGTCAAAGTTTACTCAATGATGACGTATAGGGGGCGGACCGGAAATCGGATATGTTCGCCCAACGCGAACATGCTATTGTTCGCCGGCGGACAGTTCGCGAACAGTTCGGCGGACAGTTCACGACATCTCTATTCCTGAACCCCG